GGTGCACCTCGCCAACTCCCCCCTGCGCCGCCTCCACCTTCAGCTGCAGGTTGCGGGCATCAGCCAGCAGCTTCTTCTCGTTGCCGCGAGCCTCCTCCAAGCTGCGGGCCAGGTCCTTCTCCCGCTGCCGAAATTCGCCCTCCACCTCCGACAGCCGCCGCTGCAGGTGCTGGAGCTGGGGGGGCGTGGAAAGGGGGTGATGGGGCAGGTGGGGTGCAGGGCGCGGAGAGGTGGGGTGGTGGGGATGCAGGGGATGGAGCGATGGGGTGCAAGGGATGGAGCACAGGGTGATGGAGGAATGGGGTGATGGGGATCCCCAGGGATGGAGCAATGGGATACAGGGGACCACAGGGATGGAGGGGACACAGCAACAGGGTGATGGAGATGCAGGGGATGGAGTAATGGGGTGATGGGGACCCCCAGGGATGGAGCAATGGGATACAGGGGACCGCAGGGATGCAGGGGACACAGCAACAGGGTGATGGGAGACCCCAAGGGATGCAGGGGACAGAGCAGTGGCGTGATGGGGACACCCGGGGACACCCAGGGACAGAGCAAGGGGATGATGGGGATGCAAGGGACAGAGCAAGGGACCCCCAGGGACGCAGGGCAGAGAGCAGTGGTGTGATGGGGACATAAGGGACAGAGCAGTGAGGTGACGAGGGCACCCAGGGACATGGCATCAAGCACCAGAGTAGCAGGGACACCGGATACCAGTTATGGTGTGATGGGGAAGCTGGGGCCAACAGGCACCAAGCTATGGGGCGATGGGGACACTTTGGGATGTGGGGCGCCGAGCCATGGGGCGCTGGGGACCCTGGGGGACCTCCCTACCTCTTTCCTGGCGGCCTCCGTGCCGGCCTCACTCTCCACCACCTTCTGCCTGAGGCCGAAGGCTTCGCGGCGGCTCTCCTCCTCCCGCTGCTCCTCCAGGGCCACGCGCGCCTGCAGCTCGCCCACCTCCTTGCTCCTCTTGCTGTTCTCGCTGTCCAGGTCCTTCACCTGCCCAAGGAGGAGATGGGGGTGGCTTGGTGGCACCCCGAATGGGTGGGGGGGGTCCCTGCCATCCTCCTCACCTGCCGGCGCAGCTCCTGCAGCTCGCGGCGGGCGTCGAGGCGGGCGCGCTCCAGCTCCCGCAGGGTTGCCCGCAGCTCCGTCACCTCCCGGTCCGCTGCTGCCCGCCCGTCCTCCACCAGCGCCAGCTGCTGCTCCTTCTCCTCGCTGGCACGCTTCAGGCTGCGGGAGGGGGGAGACGGGGCTGGCGTCGTCCCCCCAGAGGCATAGCCCCGGCCCCGAGCATCTCCCCATCCCCGGCATCGCCCTGAGCGTCACCTTCCAAGGCATCGCACCACCCCCTGTATCTCCCAACTTGAGCATCCCTGTGTCCCAAGCATCACCCCAACCCCGAGCATCGCCCTCCAAGGCATCACACCACCCCTTGCATCTCCCAACTTGAGCATCCCTGTGTCCCAAGCATCACCCCGACCCTGAGCACCACCCTCCGAGGCATCCCACCATCCCAGGTATCTCCCAACTTGAGCATCCCCTTGTCCTGAGCATCCCCCTGACCCCGAGCATCACCCTCCAAGGCACCGCACCACCCCAGGTAAGTCCCAACTTGAGCATCCCTTTGTCCTGAGCATCACTGTCATCCTGAGCATCCCACCATCCCCTGCATCTCCCAACTTGAGCACCACCCTGACCCCGAGCACCACCCTGATCCCTGCATCTCCCAACCTGAGCATCCCCTTGTCCTGAGCATCACCCCGACCCCACGCATCCCCCGAGCATCACCTGATGCGCTCGCCCTCGGCACGCCGCAGTGCCGCCCGCAGCTCCTCGTTGGAGCGTCGCAGGGCCTCCTTCTCCCTCGCCTCATCTCCCAAGGCTCGGCGTGCCTCCTGCGCCTGCCGCCGCTGCGCTTCCCGGCCTTCCCGGCTCTCCCGGGCCTCCCGTTGCGCCTCCAGCAGCTCCCGCCGCCCTGCCCCCCGGGCCC